GTGTAGGAATCGGGGTGGGGGGTGCTGAAAGACTGGAGTATTTCACGGTGGTTATGAAATGTGGAGGAAAGGGGGCGAAGGGTTCAGCAGCAGAGGCCAGGACAGATGCTCGCATTCGGAATCAGGAGACAGTCGTAGATCTGAGATGAACAGTAAAGAATAATGTGGAGTTCAGTTCAGGAGAAACAGTGGTATCTCTGTTTGCAGCCCTCTAAGGTGCTGAAAATGTTTAACACCAAGATGTCTGCGTGAGACTTCTGCACAGCACCTACCTCCAAAGCAACGATATTAGAAATGAAGACTTTGGAGGTGCCAGGGTTAACATGACGCCACACTGTGTGTCAGCCCGGACGCAGGAATACCTAGTCTGGTCCCTCTGTCAAGCCCGGACGCAGGAATGCCTAGTCTGGTCCCTCTGTCACGCCTGCACCCACTCACTGCTCCTGACCGCCTCTGTTATTTCCTGTTCTTCTTCAACAGGAATGGTCTGATTTTGAGAAAAGTAGCTGTTTGGGCATGAAGCCCCTTGATGTCCCATGGTCAAGAGGGCTATCCCTAAGACGAAGGCACACCATCTGAGCTCAGGCTATCCCTAAGACGAAGGCACACCATCGTCTGTGTGGTGCTTGTCACCTAGGACTTTGGAATCATGCCCATGGTGGCACACATGTGGGAAGTTAAGGCAGAAGGATTGCTGGAAGTTTGAGGCCTGTCGGGGCTACACAGTGAATCTGTTTCTCAAAACCAAAATGAAGTTTATCTTCCTTTTCAGGGGGTTGCCTCACCTAGCACACTAGAAGCTTTTGCAAATGTGTCAGGCTTGCAGAGCACTGGAGACAGGCCAGGCCGCAGCCGAAATGCACACATCAGTGACTTTTAAAATGTTGTCACCCGCACTCCCCCCCCCCCATGGCTATGGTAATTCTTTTTTTCTTTTCATTTTTTTTTTTTTTTAATTTTTCGAGACAGGGTTTCTCTGTGTAGCTTTGGAGCCTGTCCTGGAACTCACTCTGTAGACCAGGCTAGCCTCGAACTCGCAGAGATCCATCTGCTTCTGCCTCCTGAGTAAAGGTGTGTGCCACCTTCCCGGCTTGGTTAAGGTAATTTTTCAAAAAAAAAAGCTGCATCCTCAGACCTACGGTAAACACTTTAAATCCCTACTCCTGAGAATATCAGCTTGAAATATCAGTGTCCTAAAGTGTGTCTGTCCTTTGTGCCCCACCCCCATGTCCACGGTCCTTTGACCCTCCGTCCTGTACTTTACCATCCTACTAATAAGAAATAAGTGCCAAATAACGTTTCTCCATTCCTTAATCAAACAAGGGGAATCTACAGGAACATCACATTCCACTGACCTGAGGCCATACAACTGTTGAAGATTAAATCCTTTAAAAACTAAGGCGCTGGTTAAAATTTATTAACTATGTATGCTTTAAAAATAGCCACAGCATCTGTCATGTACAAGTAATCTGTCTACCTCAGACCCCTGTAAAGTATGCATGTTTACCTACATTAGAGTTGTATGAATTCAGTAGATTTATATCGTAGAATTTTAAAACCTGGTTATTTAAAAAGAGCCCATCATCTTACAGATGAGGAAACCAGAAAAGTTAAATAACTAGGTTATTAACAACTAGGTTCTAGGTTTGACTTTGTCCCATACTTATAGTGAAGTCATCACATTTTGCCAATCAGAGTAACTGTCATTCATCCATACATGGCTCCTCTCAGAGTCTCAGATGCAGAGAGATCTTGTTTGATTCAGTGTTCCACAGTGGCTAGATCCAAGTTTCCCTTCTGATTTTCACAGAATTTTCACTGTGTCCAGTTTGTCCTGTTTCAGCAGCCCACTTAGTTTGCTTGGTTTTGAGACAGGGTCCATTATGTAGCTCTGGCTGTCCTGGATTTCAGGCTGGCCTCAAACTCACAAGAGATCTGCCTGCCTCTGCCTCCCGAGTGCTGGGATTCCTGGCATCCGTTCAATCAGTATTTCCAAGGTTTAGGTGTTAAATGTTTGCTGTCCTCACTCCTCCCCCCAGATAAACCCGAAGGAAACAAACTGATGTTTCTAAACATAAATGCAATAGAACTAAACTAGTTAATTCCCTAAGCTTGTTCTTTGTCATGTAATGTTTAAAGAATCCTGTGTGCCAGTCTCAGTGTTTAGATTCCAGGCAGGGAGATCTGAGGGGTGTGATAAGGCTGCAACTTATTCTTCTCCCATTACCTCCCAACTGCCGCCTCTCCTCCTTCCACTCCTCTCAGCCCCATCCCACCTCTCCTCTACCCCAGATCCACTGTTTTCCTTCAGAAAAGAGCAGACCTCCCAGGAATGTCAACCGAGCATGGCCTAACAAGATGCAGTAAGACTAGGTACAAACCCTCAGCCTTGATAGGCTGGTTGAGGCAACCCAGTAGGAAGAAAAGGGTCCCAAGAGCAGACCAAAGAGTCAGAAACACCCCCACTCCCACTGTGAGGAGTTCCACAAGAACACCAAGCTAACAACCATAACGTATATACAAAGGACCTGGTGCAGACCCATTCAGGCCCTATGTTTGTCACGTGAGCCCTGCTTAGTTAATTCTGTTTACCTGGTGTCCTTGACCCCTCTGGCTCCTACAATCCTTTCTCCTCCTCTTTCATGGGGTTCCCAGAGCTCTGCCTAAGGTTTGGTTGTGGGTCTCTGCATCTGCTCCCATCAGCTGTGGGAGGAAGCCTCTCTGACGACAGTTGCACTAGGCACCAATCTATGAGTGTAGCAGAATATCGCTATGAATCATTTCATTGACTTTCTTTTTCCTATCCTAGGTCTCTGGGCTATTCAGCCTTGGGTTCCTGATCATCCAGGCACTGTCAGGCATGGGCTCCCTTTCGTGGCGTGTGCCTGGATTAGACCAGTCATTGGTTGGCCACTCCCACAAGTTCTGTGCTTCCATCCCCACCCCACCCCCAGTAAATCTTGCAGGCAGGACAGGATTGTAGGTTGAAGGTTTTGTGGCTGGGTTGGTGTCCCAGTCCCACCATGGGAAGTTGCAAGGTTAAAGAAGGTAGCCAGTTCTGTCTCCGTATCCTCCATTACTAGGAGTCCTTGCTAGCGTCACCTCACAGAATCCTGGGAGTTTCTACTGCACTAGATTTCCACATCACACCCACCACAAAGCCCTCCAATTCCAGTAATTTCTTCCTGTACTCTCGCTCCATGCTCCCCCACAACTGGATCCCTCCTATTCCTATTCCTACCAGCAAAATCTATTTTATTTCCCCTTCCTAGGGAGATCCATGTGTCCCCTCCAGAGCCCTTGTTACCTAGCCTCTCTGGGTCTGTGGATTGTAATATGGTTATCATTTACTTAACAGCTAATATCCACTTATGAATGAGTACATACCATGTTTGTCTTTCTGGGTTGGGTTACCTCACTCAGATTTTTTTCTGATTCCATCCATTTGCCTATAAATTTCATGTTATTTTTTTTTAACAGCTGAGTAATTCTTCATTGTGTAAATGTACCATGTCTTTATCTGTTTGTTGGTTGAGGGACATCTAGGTTGTTTCCACTTTCTTGCTGTTATGCACAAAACTGCCATGAACATATTGAGCAAGTGTCCTTGTGGTAGGATGGAGCATCCTTTGGGTATGTACCCAAGAGTGTTATAGCTGGGTCTTGAGGTAGATCAAGTCCCAGTTTTCTGGGGAACCACTCCACACCTCACCAGCATGAACAGTCTCTTGTAGTTTTGATCTTAGCCACTCTGACAGGTGTAAGACAGAACCGCAAAGTAGTTTTGATTTGCATTTCCCTGATGGCTATGGATGTTGAACATTTCTTAGTGTTTCTCAGCCATTTGAGATTTCCTCTATTGAGAATTCTGTTTAGATGTTAGCCCCCACCCCCACCCCCTTAAGACAGGGTTTCTGTGTAACAGCCCTAGCTGGCCTGGAACTCACTTGGTAGACCAGGCTGGCCTTGAACTCACAGAGATTGCCTGCCTCTACCTCCCAAGTGCTGGGATTAAAGGCATGTACCATGCCACCTAGCTGTCCCCCATTTTTTAATTGGATCCGTTTATGTCTAGTTTCTTGAGTTCTTTATATATCTTGGATACTAGTCCTCTATCGGATGTGCAGTTGAGTGAAAATCTTTTCCCATTCTACAGGCTGCCATCTTGTCCTAATGAGTGGTCATATTTATTGATCGTGGTAGTGCCTGTACTATCAGTATTCAGTTCAGGAAGTGGTCTCCTGTGCCAGTGTGTTCAAGGATACTCCCCACTTTCTCTTCTCTCAGGTTCAATGTATCTGGATTTATGTTGAGGTCTTTGGTTCAGCTGGACTTGAGTTTTGTGCAAGGTCATAGACAGGGATCTATTTGCATTCTTCTTCATGCTGACATATAGACCAGCACCATTGTTAAAGATGCTTTTTTTCCCATTGTGCCTTTTTGGCTTATCAACTGGTGTCCATAGGTGTGTGGATTTATATCTGGGTATTCAATTCATTTCACTGATAAGTGCTTTTATGCTGATACTATTTTTTTTTTTTTCAAGACAGGGTATCTCTGTTACAGCTCTGGCTGTCCTGGAACTCACTTTGTAGACGAGGCTGGCCTCGAGCTCACAGAGATCCACCTGTCTCTGCCTCCCGAGTGATGAGATTAAAGGCTTGTGCCACCACTGTCCAGCACTATTCAGTTTTTATTACTATAGTTCTGTAATACAGCTTTGAAATCAGGGACGGTAATACCTCTGGAAGTTCTTTTATTGTTCAGGATTGTTTCAGCTATCCTGGGTTTGTTTTTCCATATGAAGTGGAGTATTATCCTTTCAAGGTCTGTCAAGAACTGTGATGGAATTTTGATGAGGACTGATGGGGATAGCTTTTAATTTGTAGCTGATAGGATGGCCATTTTTACTATGTTGATCCTGCCGATCCATGAAGGGCTGCAACTTTTAATTTATAGAACTTAAGAAATATACCAATGAAGAAAAGGCTAATAGCAGATCTGTTATGAAGATATTTATATGAATAAAACCCAAAAGAGCAATTTTGCAGACTTCAATTACATGAATTGATGAATAGGTAGCAATGAACAGCTATGCTCTAACAATCAACCCATACTCCTACACTAATGAAGCTGTAAGGGCCTCTAGTCTAGATGGTTCTAAAATGGAGAGATTTGGTTTTGGTGGAAGATGGGCAGAGTACAGTGAAGTACAGTGACTGTAGCAAGCAATGGCCTTTCCTTTAGCCTGAGACGTTAAAGTACAGTGAACTGAGGGAAGGGGAAAACATCTTTCTGAAAGAGTCCACCTTGATTCATGCGATAACCGTGCCCAAACTCCCATGTGAACAGCCTTCAGTGGACACTTCTACAAATACAGAAATAAAAAACAGACAAAAGAGTATCCAAAGATACATATTTTCATTGGCTGAGCATTTTCCCATTTTCCTTATAAATAGGTGTGCTGGTTAGTTTTCATTGTCAACTTGATACAACCTAAAATTAGCTGGAAACAGAGTCTCAATGAGGTTGGCCTGCGGACAAGTCTGGGGTAGGAAGACCCAGGCAACTACAGGCAGCACCATTCCCTAGCAAGGAAATGCTGAACAATGTGAGAAGCAAAGATACACACGTTCTCTCCTTGCTCTTGACTGGTATGACAGAACAAGCTTTTTGAGTTTCAGCCTTTCCCCAAAATGGAATTGTTGCTTTTTGTCAGGGTGCTCGTCACAGTAACAGAAACAAAACTAGAAAAATATAGGCAATCAGAGAAGTCTTGGAAAATGGTGAGGTAAACTAGTACTGCTATTTCTTTCTGGACCTTATACGACACAACGTTATTCACAGATAATAACCAGCAATGTGTGCTAATTACATGATTCTCCACAACCCTGAAGAAGAATGGACACATAAAACATTTCCAACTGAAGTTTATATAGAACTCTAAATAATAATTGTGTCATTTCAGAATTCCAGAGCTGCAAAGAGCCCTACTGATAGCTTGATCAAATTCTTTTTTTTTTTTTTTTTTTTTTTAGAGACAGGGTTTCTCTGTGTAGTTTTAGAGCCTGTCCTGGAACTCGCTCTGTAGACAAGGCTGGCCTTGAACCCTGAGATCCGCCTGCCTCTGCCTCCTGAGTGCTGGGATTAAAAGGCGTGCACCACCACTGCCCAGCTCAAATTCTATTTTTGTAATTAGCAACTGAAATCCATTCACATTAAAATAACTGACATCAAGTCTCGGCTTATTGGCAAGGATGGAACTGTGTATATGTCATTTACTTGGGCTATATGTGTGTGTTCATGTGTGTGCAGATGCACAAGTGTGGGGGTGTATATGGAAGCCAGAGGGCAAGCCTGGCTTTCATTTTTCAGGTGCTGTTCACCTTGTTTTTAGAGACAGGTTCTCTGGTTTGAGTATGCCACCATGTCTAGCATTTTTGTTACATAAGATCGGAGGGGGGGGGGACGACAAAAGTCACTCCCCACTGTGTGTACTTTACCAACCGAGCTACCCAGTGCCTAGGCTGAGCTTTTAAAAGGACTAATTTACTTCACTTAGAAATAAATCCTGCATATCTACTATGCTATAGTAACCTTCTAAAATTATGTTACAAAGGCAATATGCTAATCTTTAAATAGCCTGCCAGGCAGCATGATATAACACAACCATTCTATTAATATGCAGCAGTAGGGTAAATCTTTAACAGGAGAACTGCATATGAATATGTGTGGTACGTTGATACAGCATCAGGTTTGAGTCAGCCAATTCTGTCACTTACTTCTACTTCCATATGTATAAAAAAGATGTATACCCTAGAGGTTGAGAGAATGGCACACAGTCATGCTTTCTTCTTTTTAGTTTAAATGCATGTAAATGACCTCATGGCATTACATTTTCACCACATAAGTAATTCAAAATTAAGGAAGAGAGGGAGGGATGGAAGGAGGGAAGGAAGGAGGGGGGAAGGAAGGAAAGAGGAGAAGCAAGCAAGCGAGCAGCAAGATGGTGGTACAAAAGACCTTTTCGCAAGGTCCCCTCTGCAGCAATGTTTGAGAAAACAGTCCTACAATGAGACTGTAACCAAGCACATCCCACAAGGACATGGCGGTGACTCACTCTCCTAGAGAGTTTCTGATCTTATCAAGAGTGGAATTACTGGGAGGGAACTGCAGGGATTCTACAAGACTCTCCTAGAGATTACTTTGAACATACTCAAACCTGTAAGGACTACAGTAAGGACAACATGACACTGAATGATTCTCCTGAAGAAATGTATGTCCAGAAAGACACAATAATATGATCAAGTGCTGTTGTAATTGTTGTTGTTGTTGTTTTGTAAAAATAGAGACCAGGAAAGCAGAAAAATGTAGCATTATGAAAACATAAGGAAACACTCTTGAAGAAGAAACACTTCACACTGAAGTTTTAAATGGTATCTAATAAATTTCATGTCAAATTTAACTAAACATATAAAAATTTTAAATGGCAACTAATAAATCCCCATGTCAAATCTTTTTTAACAAAATCCACAAATAGATTATAAAAATTGAACATCATAAATGTCTCTTGTATAAAGTTTGATGGGAAAGTTGAATTTCTACATTAGTTTGTTTAATCAGATTCTCATGAACTTCGGCTACTGCTAAGCGCAGCAGACACAGCTCCCCGTAACCGCTATGAAAACACTTCCGGATCGGCAAGGCAGCCTCCCATCCGTCTTCAGTCATCCACAAACGTTAACCGTCCAGGCCCTTCGTTCTTCATCCATCTCCGGTAGCGCTTCCACCGAGGGTCATTCGCCAACTTTTTCTTTAACTCCTCCTCTTGCTCCTGCTTGTAGACCTATGAGAAGGAACAACAGAAACGACTATGATACAGGAGAAACCCATGCTGTGATAGTTATTGAGTGTCTACTTTTCCAGTGTCACTTCAGCTGACTTCAGTCCATTTGCCTTCTGGAGACTAACTCAACATCCAGTGTCAGAAAAGCAAAAGGTGTACAAGAGCTACACCTTCTCTGTTTTGGTTCTGTGATGGGCTCCTGCAATGTAGCCCAGGCTGGCCTGGGACTTGCTAAGTAATTCAGACTAACTTGGAATTCAAAGTCCTCCTGCCTCAGCCTTTCTCTGTCTAGGACTAAGATTGGTGTACAAATGCTTGGACCTTCCCTTCAGATTTTTCACTTAACCAAGGAACAAATTAGCTTTACATATGCATTTGCATCTAAATTGAATTTACATCTACTTTTCAAAGATAATTAGTTTTTTTTTCTTTAAAGTTACCAAAGAAGGTTGTATAAATCACACAGGTTAAGAACAAAGAATTTCTAGTATTTCTTTAAGCTTTCGTCAACCAAAACTAAATGAACAATTTCTTTCAGCCACATTAATTTTTAAAGAGTACTGTTTCCAAATAATAGAAATAGTGGCTAAGGAAACTTTGTGCAATATAATAATTCAGCCTAGTACAATAATCTGAAAAGACAGGGTTTAAAGCAAACAACTTTCAAAAAGCTGTGCATGTCTCTGTGTGTGTGTGTGTGTGTGTGTGTGTGTTTATAAATATGGTGTGCAGATATGCCTTTTCTCCAGCATTCACAGCCTTTGTTTTTAAAACAGGGTCTCTCCCTGAATCCAGAGCTCTCGGATTTGGGTAGCGTCAGGGATCCACCTGTCTCCACCAAGCCCTGTTTTTCATGTAGTTTCTGGGAACGTAAGGAAGCAGTCATGCATGTGAGGCAAGTGAGGACTTCACCCACAGAGCCTCTCCATTCCCTCAAATAGTTTTAAGAGCTAAATAACAGTACATTATCTCCTGTTTTTAGGTAATTTACACACAGGAGTATATTTACTTGCCAAACATCTGGCAACTCCTAATAATTTTACTTTCCATAAAGATTTAGAACATTACACACAGAATGGAGTTGGCTACAAAACAGTGTAACAGCTAACATATCCTAAGTTTCTGAAGAATGTTTCAATGCGCTAAATGCTTATATTCATTACATTAGCCAATTAATTGTATCAGAACCTAGGATAGGAGAGTGCTGGAGTCTTCAGCACTGGAGCTAGATCACTGAACACATCTAAATAATTTCTGTAGCTGTCAATAGTGGAAAATAACACTTAATAAAACATCCCAGCTTTATAGTAAGTTGATTTCAATAAAAAGCATGTAACATTCCAAAATTTGATAATACTATTCAGAAGATTCTATGCTTAATTATTTTGAAATAAACAATTATTTCAACAAAATTTTTCTTTTTTTTTTTCTGTCTTGCTGTTTTGGAAGGAAGAAATTTAATTAGTGCAAACAACAGAAAGTCATCTAGACAGCTTATGGACACATCACTCCACTTCAGTTTGACAAACTAGACTATTCTTAACTTTTACCAGGATAAGCTGATTAGAGTATTTGAAGTACAGATTAAAAAAAAAACCTTTAGCCGGGCAGTGGTGGCGCACGCCTTTAATCCCAGCACTCGGGAGGCAGAGGCAGGCGGATCTCTGTGAGTTCGAGGCCAGCCTGGTCTACAGAGCGAGATCCAGGAAAGGCGCAAAGCTACACAGAGAAATCCTGTCTCGAAAAACCAAAAAAAAAACAAAAAAACAAAAAAACCTTAAGTTAAACCCACTGTCACACTATAAGCAGGCCCTGCACTCCCCACTCAACTCTGGACTTGGGAAGTGTAGAAGGCACCTGTGCAGTGCGACTCTCACCACCGTGGCCCTGCAGCAAGGGAACACAGCACTCTCCACTGGCCGCCACCGCCGCCCCCGCTCACCTCGTAATTCTCCTTTATCCAAAGCTCCCGCTCAAGAAACGTTTCTTTCTGATGGTCCTCCAGGCTGTCAAACTGAGACTGGGACATCTTCATAGACTTGCGTATGAGGTAGAGTCTCTCCTCCTCCCCGTATTCTTTGCCTTTGATATTAAAGTTATAGACCCACCGGCAGTACCAAGCTATGTACGAGCACAGGTGAAAAGGAGCCAGGATGACTTGAAACAGGAGGAGGTCACGGACTTGGGGTTTCTGGTAGCCCCCCTTTATGTCTATCTTACTTTTTATAATGTTCTTGATGATGCTCTCCTCCTCATCCCGGATCTCTTCTTTGGACTTCTTGTTTTTCCCTTTCTCTTTGGCTTTCCTGAGCAGTCCCTGCTCCTTGGCAATTTCTGTGGCCTGGATGCGGTATTTGGGCACTGTGGCTAGGTAGCTGATAGCTTTATTGTAGCTATTCCACCAGCTGAAATACTACAACATAAAATAAATAAAAATAAGACATTTTATTAGCAAAATCCATCAAAAGCAGCAGCAGCAGTAGTAGTCCTTGTGAGTGCCATTCCCCCACAGAAACCCAGCTGACTAAAACTATGGCCCTCAGCCAGGTGTGGTAACTCACACCTGTAGCCCAGCACCTGGCAGGGGAGGCAGAGGATCTGACTCGGAGAGCAGCCAGGGCCACGCAGAAAGAACCTCCCAGAAAACCAGTGACAACAGTGAGCGCAAAGATTTACTTTATTTGTAGAACACCTCCCCTTTCCTTTGTTTACTTTGAATCTCCAGAGGAAGATTCAACTGCATAACAGCTAACAAGACATTCCCTTTAAAATTCCACAGGCTGGAAGCTCAGGCAACTTTATTACTTTTTATCTCTTTCCTAAATAGCTACATCTCCAACAGGAATGCTTACCATATTCAGAACACAAAGACTCAAGTGTATTTGAAGTCTACTCATCTGGCAAGAGAAAACTCAGAAATATGTTCAACCTCAAAGGGATTAACTCTCAGAAAAGGCCTTGCTGCTGCTCACACAGCATATCCAGGCTTCAGTTCCTCTGCTAGTAACATCCTGGAACCTACCAAAAACAGAAGACCAGGGGAGGGCAACACTTCTACAAATGCTAAGAAGTTGAAATACATCATTTTTTATTATTTAAACTGAATACTGTCCTAGAGAAGACATTTTCAGGGCTGGAGAGATGGCTCAAAGGTTACGAACACATGTTTATCTTGGAGAGCACCTGGGTTTGTTTGGTTCCCAGCACCCAGAATCATCTCGATTCAGGAAATCTGGCATCCACTTCGGGCCTCCACAGACACTAGGCACACAGGTGGTTACACACATACATGTATGCAAACACCAATATACATAAAATAAAAGGCTTTAAAAAGAGAGAAGTACTTCTCAAACTTGCCAGCTACTTTCTTCCTGGTCGTCTGATGTGTTCTTTTCCTCGAAATGAGCAGATGAGCAGTGTAGTTAGTTAAAGAACACCAGGGAAGACAGCACTCCAGGCTGAACTCCGATTCCTGGGACAGTTTAAACCACACGAAGAGTTGGTGTATCTCTTTGATTCTGGCCATTGGTTTCCTGCTGAGCAGCAGCTCCTTCTGGGCATGCAGAACTGGCGGGGGGGGGGGGGGGGGGGGGGGGGGGAGCATTTGGGACTGCCAGAGAAGGCAAGCAGTGCTGGCATCAGCCAATGGAAAGCCAGCCTCATCAGCCATGGAAAGGGTGTTCTTAACGTTGCAAGTTCACGGGATATCACTGAGAAGTCCTATAAAAGTACATGATATCATCTGGCTGTCATGTGGACCCAAACACTCTTAGAGGGAGATGAGAAGAAACAGGTTTGGAGAGTTTTTGTAGCTATGCAATGATATTTGTGTGGTTTGAATAAAAAGTGTTCCTGTAACTTCAGGTCTTTGGTGGCACTGTTTGGGAGGGTCTGAAACACTTAGGATGTGGAGCCTTGCTAGAGGACTACAACCCTGGGGGTGGGCTTTGAGAGTTTATGGCCTCACTCCGCTTTCTGCAAGATGAAATGTGTGATCAGCCAGCTTCCTCCTCAGGCAGGTGCCTTCGTCACCTTCAGGTGCCTTCCTCACCATTATGGACTCTCTCTGGAACTGTAAGCCAGAATTAATTCTTCCTCCTCCTCCTCCTTTTTTTTTTTTTTCCCCTGAGATAGGGTTTCTCTGTGTAACAGTCTTGGCTGTCCTCGAACTCACAGAGATCCGCCTGCCTCGGCCTCCCCAGTGCTGGGATTAAAGACATGCGCCACCAGCCTGAATTAACTCTCCTTCTGTAAGTTGTTTTTGTCATGGTATTTTATCACAGCAGTAGAGAAGGAACGGGGAGAACAGCCACCACTGGGTTCTAAGACCCCTGATGGCAAAGATTCCAATGCTAGGGCCTCGGGGAGGGCATGCTCCACCTATAATATATGTTTGTACGACAAAACCCTTAGGTAATATAGCACCATGTGTAACGAATAAATACAGCGGAAAAAAATCCTAGAATAAATGAGTATTTTTCAAGTGTAAAAAAAAATGAATCTCAACTAGAAGAAAAATTTACAAAATGTACTTATAATACAGATTTAATGGCTAGCACTAGGCAACACAAATACACAGAAAGACATATATATATATATATATATTCATGAATACACACCTGAAACATGGAAATGGCGCACACACTGACCAAAATCACCACCCTAACGTCCACTCTCGGGGCTAGGCGTCTGCTGTAGTAGTGATAGTAATGGCTATAGTATTCCTCCGGGTGATCCAGCATGTAGTCATAATCTTTCCGTGTTTCTTCATCCTGTAAAGTGAGGGATAATCTATTTCATATGACATATGGAGCTTCAGTTTATAATCTGTTAATTGAGAATTTCTAATTATGAAAGATACAAATAAAATATTAAATCAAACCCTTGCCAATACTCGTAAAGACATTATACACCTTTGTTTTCAGGACTTTTACATTAGGTATAAAGATAGAACACAAACATGCCCCAAACTCTTCAGTATGTTCAGTAGTCTCAGAAAACTCAACACTTTGACAACTGCTAACCTTTAGCTAATGCTATAGTAGAAGTTCCTGTAATTTCAGGGTATTCTGATACCTACTCAACCCGCCCCCCTCCAAAAGAAACATGGCTTATCTCCTATTTATATTCAAAATCAGGTTCCAGCTTTAACTAGTTTTTCTGCTGAAAGCAATGATTAAGACAGCACAGACCAGATGAAACCAGTCTAAGCCTAATCCTGTCAAAGAACACTGAGACATCACTTAGCACAACATAAAGGTCAAAGTCTAGCTTTGTAACCTTGGGCAACACACTAAGCTCCTCTGAGCCTCATTCTGTTCCTTTGTAAAAAGAAATGCTACCCGTCCTAATATTTTCCATGGTGTTCTGAATATCAAATGACATATACTATGCAGTAACATGCTACAGATGTGTATGTGGTACTTTACTGCTGTAACACACTGACAGAGTCCACTTCATAAATAAGGTAACCTAACTTTCTTATAAATATAAATTCTGTCCAAAGAATTCTGAAAGTTTTAGGGGATGTTATATACTTCATTTGCTTGTTTATGATGTGTGGGGGTGCGCCCATTGAATACAGGCATGTGAATGACACAGTGCAGGCGTGGAGGTCAGAGGACAGGTCAGTCAGTCCTTATTTTCCACCTCATTTGAGGCAGGGACTTTTCTTGTTCACCGCTGTGGACATCAAGCTTGATGACCTGCAAGCTTCCAGGGAGGGATTCTTCTGTCTCTACCTGCCACGTCACTGAAGAAGCACAAGCATTCCAGATGCACAGTACCCAGCTTTATGTGGGTTCTGGGGGTCCTAACTCAGGACATCGTGCTTACACAAAGCAAGCACTTTTATCTCCCTCCCCCAGCATCTCCCCGTCATAATAAAACATTCCTTAAAAATCTTTCATCTTTTTATGCAGCCAGCTTCTAACAGATAAATGCCAGCATTTTATTGAGCTACTTCAGAGCTATTCAAGTATATATGATCCAGTTTTTATCTCAAAAGAAACCTGTTTTTTTTTTTCAACTTGTCCTGTTTCACAAAAATGGTGACTAAGCCCAAGACAAATTCTTTGGTCTTTATATGGTGTGCAATAGAAACCACTGCAAAAATAATAACAACCTCAGAGGATGTCCTTCTAATTTAAACTGTTCAGCACTCATCAGGCTGGACCTTCTGAGCAACAAGACACTTCAAAATCCAACCCAGTGCCTGTCACTGTGGACGGATGCTACAAGGTCTGTTTAGGGCTTGCCTCCTTTTGAGTCCTTCAGTATGTACCTTCTTATAATTAAAATAAAAAGTTGGCTAATGATAAAATCTTTCCTGATTATTAAAATCATCATGTATTTCCCATTAAAAACTGAGTGCTCAATGAAGTTATCCTATATTCATTATACTTAAAGTATTTTTAGCTCTTACTAGCACATGAAAGTGAGTATTTAGTTAGTTATACGATAGTATCTTTAGACACTGTATGACAGTATATGGAGGGCCGAAGAACTATCTGTTACATAAGCAGGAGTGGGCTCAGCTGATACTGTCTTCAAATTTACTCCTTGTATGTTCTCTTTTGTCAGAAAGGGTTTTCTCACGGCAGTCTATGCCATCAATCACTATCGCTTAGCAAGCAATCACTGTATTCCAGAGCTCCTAACCTAGGAAAGGTCCATCTCTACAGTAGTCACACAGACAGATCTGAACACTAACGCCCACACCTCTTGAGGTGTCTCACTCAGTACTTTAAGAATTTAATCCTTCTAGAATTTCCCTCTTCTTCCACCATGTTTTTGGTTCTGGTGGCTAGTTTTATAGAAATGTCCTCACAAGGCCTGAAACTGGGCTTTGACCCTAGCTTCCAACCTTTTGAAATGTATTCAAACAAGATTCTTCTGCTCCAACTAGACTGCATATCATTTTGAACTGAAGGCCACCCTGTCCGCAGTCTCCACAGAGCCTTTGTCCAGCTGTCTGTTGCACCCTAGTTGAGGCATGGAGCCAGCTTAGCACCGGCAGCTGCCGCATGAGCACCCATGTGCTGTTGGGTGCCTAGTCAGCTCCTTCCTTCCCTCGTCCTAGTGCAGTTCAGTCTAGGAACACAGACACCACTGCTGCTCAAGATCAGTCCAGGCCTTCCCCAGGGCCTTCTGAAGTTTCTGGACCCAGGACGTCACAAGAGGGTGGTGGCCAAAGCTCCAGCAGCAACTCCACATCCACCCTAGTATCTGCCTCTCCTCAGAACCCTCATCTAGTCAGAGCTTCCCAAGTCCTGAAGCTACACCACACTATGAAAGGTCAAGGGGCAAATCCGACTTCTCTCAGGATGGGTTCTTTCTCTGAATTTTCACTGTAAAATCTTTTTTCCTCTATAAAATGAAAACAATCTTTGAGATAAAACATCCCATGGAATTTAAAAGATATCCAAAGTTGGTACAAAGTGGAAAAGGAATTCTCTCCACAAACTAAGTCAAGTAAAAAATCCTATTCTTTAGTAAACTACAAAGTTTAAGACACACAGATACCAAGAATAAGTAGCCAAGGACAGAATAAGAATGACCATTCTTCTCTTAGGGGGTCATATCAGAGAACTAAGGTACATTATTATTGTAACAGCATTTCCCCCTCTAAAACATCTTAGAACTGAGGTTCACAGGGTTTTCATTTTTATCTTGACTGTTTCTCCACAGTCAGAGTTTAAATTTCTTGGCATGCACCCCGCCCCCCAGCCCCCACCCCCACCCCCACCCCCAACTGGCCCAAACTCACCTACGTAGCAATCCCTTACCACTCCTCCTACCCATGGCAAACAGACAGCAATTTCTGGTTTGGTATACTCTTCTAACACAATGTATTCTTTCTTTGAACATATAAACCTCTCTAATTTGAAGCATATTCCCTTCCTCTAACCTTATGAGCTCCTAAAAGTCATGAACACTATTGCTTCAAACAGCTTTTTGTGGTGATGGAGACCTAACCCAGGCCCTTGGGCATGCTAGGCAAGTGCTGTACCACTGAACTACATACAATCCCTTACCCCGGAACACTCTTATCACACTTAGTGTCTATGTATTATAGCACTTATCACATTGTAATCATCAGGGTTTTTTCTTGTTCTTGAATGAGAATTTCTTAGAAGGTAAGTAGTAGGGTGTTCATTAATCTCTATATTCCCAGGGCCTAGCTCAGTGCCTGGCAGTCAGTAAGTCATTTCAAAACTATGAGAACTGTTTTAAGAGTTCTTCCTCCTTATACATCTCTCTCCAGCCACACAGGACTGCAGCTCAATAGCAAGGCTAGACGAGTAATTATGTCATAAAAACCTCAGCTCGACAGAAATGACTACTTGAATTTACAGCTTATGAAAATATGCTAATGTGGCTAAAACAGCTTGAACGGTTTAATATCTTACCTTTCAATAAGGTAGTACTTTTTCTTTCAGCAATACTGTGGATCTTAAGGTCCCAGGGTCAGAAGATTCCAACTTCTTTCCAAAATCAAAACCTTTATACTTGTGTCTTCCTCTCTGTCCTGAGCCTCGACAAGCAGGGCAATATACTCCTTGTTTCTAATTTCTATAGGAGTAATGGTGCTTCTGCTGGTGTCCATCCATTCCCAATCCTCTTGGGCATATGCAGGAGGACTGGAACACAACCACCAATAGCTAGATCAAAAGTGAACAAAGGAAACCCACAAGCAAAGCAGCCCTTCCTTGTCTCGTGAAAATGACCACCCCCGCCCAGAGCAAAAACATTATGTCCTTGGCTTAAAATAAGATATGCATTGTTTACTTTCAACAAACATGAATTGCAATGTAAGATATTGCAGTCAGTTTTACATCAAAATGTTCTATTATACAGAATAAGGAGACCATTTACTGATGGGAACGGCCAGGAATCAGGAATATATGAAAATGTACTCATATTTGTTCATTCTTAAAAATACATATTACTCTTATTAATATACACCCCCCCACACACACACACAAATCTCTCTCTCTCTCTCTCTCTCTCTCTCTCTCTCTCACACACACACACACACACACACACACACACACACACACACACACAAATGATGATGCTTCAAAAATAAAACCTGCTCCCTTACATTTTTCCCCAGGCCATTATATCTTGCTAAGGGACAAGAAAATGAACTACTATCAGTTTTATGTTTTTCTTGTTCCCTGTCCCCAGCCAATCATAAGTGCAACCATCTTACGTGTCTTCTCAAGGTCCATAATTCAACTATCTATGCCCTAGTGACACATCTACTTTCCCTGGCTGCTCCTACTTCAACTATGTCTTGAACATTTTCTAAATGTAACATAAATATCTCCAATTCAACAAGCTCAAAAGCAGGTTTGCTCTTTCATGTCTCAGCTAATAGATTCAATGTGTACCCATCACGTCAGTTTTTAAAATCTTCCTTTTTCAATTCAGGAAATAAGAACATAAAGAATCAGCCCCACGTTAAACACAGGGGAAAATAAAAGCAGTAAGATAAAGTCTTAGCCTCAGGAACCCTCCTTTCTAGAAGAAGCTAGCACACAAAAAGCACAATTTTATGTGCTAACAAACAAAGACTGAGTTCACAAGTTGAGGGCCACAGAGAGATGAAGTGGAAGAGAACTGGGTCTTAAAAGTGAGTAAGGAACACCAGAACTTGGAACGAGCCTTAGAATCAAGGGTTAGGGCACGGAAGCACTGAACAGCAGGACAGACTCAGCTGAGGCACTGGGGACATTCAGGAAGCAGTAGGAAAAGTACAGAAAAG